TCCTTGAAAAGCCCTGTGACTTTCTCCAGAATAAGGAAAATTAATGAAGAGCACTAACTTCAGTGAGTATAATTCAAACCCTGCTATTAAACTGTCATTTTAATGTCCCATTTTCTTTTCTGAAAGTTTTTTGAAATAAAAATTTCTCTTCATTGTATATTTTCTTCTAAAAGTTATATTTCTGCTACCGTGCAATAAAATAGGCCATTGGGTTTTTAAACAAAGATTTTTTAAATATATGGACCATTTTTTAAGTCTTTACTGAATTTGCTACAATACTGCTTCTGTTCTATGTTTTGGTTTTTTTTGGTCACAAGGCATATAGGATCTTAGTTCCCCGACCAGAGATTGAACCTGCGCCCTCTGCACTGGAAGGCAGAGTCTTAACTACTGGACAACCAGGGAAGTCCCCTAGACCTTTGTTTATCAATGTGTAGGCTGTGGCCAAGTGTTAGTTGGGCTCTGGAGATTAAAGTTCAGGTATTTCATATCCGTTTGGTAGTTTCCAGACATCACTCACTAGGTAAACCCCTTTCGGTCTAAACAGAGGTAAATCTCCTACAGGCGTTTAATGGAAAAGGTCAAGGAGAGGGCTCATCGAAATAGTGTTTCTTTTTTGTTAAGGAATTTATTTATTTGTGGCCATGCTGGGTCTTCGTTGCTGAATGGGCTTTTCCCTAGTTGCGGCGAGTGGGGGCCACTCTCCATTGCGCTGCGTGGGCGTCTCGTTGCAGCGGCATCTCTTGTTTCGGAGCGTGTGCTCTCGGGTGCTTGGGATTCAGTAGTTGCGGCGTGTGGGCCCGGTCGTCGTAATTGCCAGGCTCTGGACCACAGGTCCAGTAGCGTGGTGCATGGGCGTAATTGCTCCGGGGCACGTAGGATCTTCCCAGATCAGGGATCAAACCCATGACTCCTGTTTCAGCAGGTGGATTCTTTACCACCAAGCCACCAGTGAAGCCCTGAAATAGTATTTCTAGTGTTTCCTAGGTCTCTTTATCTGTTCCCTTGGCCTTCTTTCTCTCATAGCATCCTCCCATTGTGCTCCTAGTTTATTTGGTTCAATACCATTAAGAGCAATAATGCTCGTGCTAGTCCTACTAATAGCCAGGACTGACTTCGAAATTATTTTGTCCCAGGTATGCTACGAAGTGTTTCAGGTGCGTCATCTCACGAAATCTTTACAGTATGCATGTCCATGGCAAAGGAAAGATGGGGATTTTGGAAATTTGACTTTGACTTGTGTCAACGTCCTCTTCTTTTTCTGTCTGGAGGGAACATTAGAGTTTCGCATGCTCCAGTTGGTGCCTGCATCCCTCACAGAACTTGTGTGTCCTCATTCCTCAAGAGGTGTTTGCTAGAAAAGTAGGTGTAACACGGCAACCGCAGACACTGTGCTTTTCAGTCTTGAGAGGCTTCGGGTGTTCCGAGGGTCCCTTCTTCCGCGCTGTCCGTGTTCACAGCTGTTCGGCCTGTTCTGATCGTGTCCACGTGTGCTGTTGCCGAGGGTCTGCTGGACCAACTGCAGCAATGAGTCCCATGTCCCTGCTGCGCAGACACTCCTGCTATTGTTTTCCAGCTTTAAAAAAAAAAAAGGCACCAATGATCCTATTTACAAAACAGAAATTGAGTCTCAGACGTAGCAAGCAAACTTATGGTTTTCAAGGGGGGGGTGTGGTGGGATAAACTGGGGGTTTGGGGTTGACATACACACACTGTTGTGTATAAATAAGGGGCTTCCTGGTGGCTCGGGAAGACCCCCTGGAGAAGGCAATGGCACCCAATTCAGTACTCTTGCCTGGAAAATTCCTTGGATGGAGGAGCCCGGTGGGTTACAGTCCATGGGGTCGCAGAGTTGGACACGACTGAGCGACTTCACTTTCACTTTTCTCTTTCTGATGGCTCAGAGGGTAAACAATCTCCTGCACTGCAGGAGATCTGGGTTCAATCTCTGGGTCAGAAAAATCCCCTGGGAGAAGGGAATGGCCACCACTCTCGTATTCTTGCCTGGAGAATTTCAGGGACAGAGGAGCTTTGAGAGCTACAGTCCATGGGGTCGCAAGAGTCGGACACAACTGAGTGCTGATACCTCCACATGTAAACGGATAATGAATAAGGACACTGTGTAGCACGGGGAACTCTGTTCAGCAGTCTGCAATGGCCCGTGTGGGAAAAGCACCTAAAAAAGAGCGAAACGTGAATGTATTAGTTGCTTAGTCGTGTCTGTGCGACCCCATGGACTGCAGCCCGCCAGGCTCCTCTGTCCATGGGGTTCTCCAGGCAAGAATCCTGGAGTGGGTTGCCATGCCCTCCTCCAGGGGATCTTCCCCACCCAGGGACTGAACCCAGGTCTCCAGCATTGTAGGCGGATTTGATAGTTTACGGTGAACAATGTTGGATTCGTAATCTCCGAAGAAGATTTAGCTTTGGGCCCAAGGACCAGGCTTGATCACTCAAGAGCTTTTGTGTAGCAGACTTTTATTAAAGTATAAAAAGGGAGAGAGAAAGCTTCTGATGTAGACATCAGAAGGGGGATGGAGTGTCAGCAAGGGAGCTGTACACTTTTTGAATTAGTTATTACAATGAATCAAAAGAATGTCTCAAGGTTGTAAAAATTTTACCAGACCCACTCTCACAATTTTCATTTTAGGATAACAGGATTAGAACTTAACAATAGATGGATCCTACCAGACCCTCTCCCGTAATATACATGCTAAAACATCAGGATTAGTCAGAAGGTTTTCAGGAAGGAGAAACTGTCTTCAACCAGGATACACTGTTGTTATATAATCCCTAGTACAGAGTTTAAACTGAGTTGTGTAATCATCAGTTCCGGGCTTAAATTAAAAAAAAAAAAAATGTTTTATGTGACTAAGACTAGGAAATGTAGAGGGGGAAAAAAAATGTCTGTCATTTCCTCCTCCTTGAGAATTCCAGACCCCTATCTCCTCCGTGGGGACCCCCGACTTCTTATCAACCTGCCTAGGAATTGACTCTCTCAGATTCTTTACCATCTGAGTTACCAGGGAAGCATATGTATAACTGACTCACTTTGCTATACACCTGAAACCAACAGAACACTGTAAATCAACTATACTCCAATAAAAAGAAATTAAAAAAAAGAGCCACAAGATAGCCAAAATGTTCTGCTCCTATCCAAACCATCAGATTAATATAAAAATGTATTAGAAACATCTTATGGTTAAAAAGGATTGCAGTTTTTAACATTACAGTTCTGCTTTAAACACCAAAGAAAATTTCCTAGCAGATTTTCTTATGTGATCACTGTCTTTAACAGCATTCTATTTAGGCCTGTGCATTTGTATAGCTTCAGAGTATCGTAATTATTACATCTGTTATTCCATGGTTTCTGCTAATGATCTGCAATGGGAACTCTCCACTGTGTTAATGAGCTCTTAAAATGTATACATTGTGAAGCATGTTTTTAAAGCATTACTTTGAGTAAGAGGCATGGTATAAAATAATCTAAACTAATATTTTCTTAATTTAAAATAGGCACACTTAGCTCCATATTCCATGTTTTTCATAGATACTGCTGTGCTTTCTTTTCCTACAGACAGAGTACCTATTTTGCTTTTAACCTGAAGGCACTGTCTTCATTTAATAGAATAGCTATATATTCTTTTGGACTTCCCTGATAGCTCAGTTGGTAAAGCATCGCCTGCAATGCAGGAGACCCCGGTTTGATTCCTGCCTCAGGAAGATCCGCTGGAGAAGGGATAGGCTCCCCACTCCAGTATTCTTGAGCTTTTCTGGTGGCTCAGCTGGTAAAGAATCCGCCTGAAATGTGGGAGACCTGGGTTTGATCCCTGGGTTGGGAAGATCCCCTGGAGAAGGGAAAGGCCACCTTCTCCAGTGTTCTGGCCTGGAGAATTCCATGGACTGCATAGTCCATGGGGTCTCAAAGAGCTGACTATGAGTGACTTCATACTGCATATTCTTTGGTGCACTCCGTGGAATATTCTGTATGCAATGTGCAATGTGAATAGATGTGAGTGGATGTGTCCCAGATGCTTTACTGGTAATGCAGCTGCCTAGGGAAATCTTCCATTTTCTCTTAAAAAGATGTCATAGCTGTCCTTCTCTTTCTAGTCCCAAACATTTTACCAAAAGCCTTACTTTGGCTCCAGAGTGAAACAGGCATGATTAAATTCAGGCCCTGTCACTTTCTATCCCTGAGGACTGGACAAGTTGTTTACACTTTCCAACATGTCATTTCCAGTATGTAATTCTTAGGATTTTTGTGAAGTTTGGATTTGTACTAGCTCAATAAATGTTAGCAATTATTTTTATTTTCAGTAATGTTAATAGTGGTATTTTCAGTACTAGTGAGTTATGATTTAATGCTAGATTTTTTTTTTAAACAAAAAATCATTTTAGAGTAATCTGATTATTTGGCTCATATATTTGAGGGAATTGGAGAAGAAATGACAGTAGCTAAACTTTCTTTCTCTACAGGCATATGTTTTAGAATAAGTTCAGCTAAATTGTTTAGATGGGATTCCCTGGTGGCTCAGAGGGTAAACCATCTGCCTGCAATGGGGGAGGCCCAGGTTCGATCCCTGGGTCGGGAAGATCCCCTGGAGAAGGAAATGGCAACCCACTCCAGTACTCTTGCCTAGAAAATTCCATAGATGGAGGAGCCTGGTGGGCTACAGTCCATGGGGTCACAAAGAGTCGGACACGGCTTCACTTGTTGGCAAAATAATTTTTTAAGGTACTATATTTTAATAGCATAGAGTTTTTCTAAAACTTGAACTTCAAGTATATACATATTGCATTTCAAGTACAAGTTATATTGAAATCTGTGGGCATATTTCGTAAAGTAATTTTAAGGACAGCATGTAGGCAGGGCAGAAAGTGTTGATATAATTGATTAGGGGCCATTGGAAGAGTGGGTTTGTAGCTTTGTATTCTTGGCTGTCTTTGTTTCCTTACTATTTCTATTCATGTAACTAAGATGATGTATTTTTGCTTTTCAGTCACTCAAGACTGCTTGCAGTTGATTGCAGACAGTGACACGCCTACTATACGAAAAGGTAATCAAGTATTCACAGGAACTTTTCCACTTAAGAATTCAGTTCAGTCCAATTACCTGTACATTTCATGCCCCAAAATTGTATTTGAACTCCCTCTCAGATCAATGATCTGCCTCAAGACTTCTTATAATCAGATTTAAGATAATAAATTCATTTAAAATGATTGGGGAATAAATATTCAGGCCCCTATAATAACCTAACAAAGAGAATTACCTTTAGGACACTAATACTAAGAAATTTTAAATAATTAGCATGTGATAAAGCAAAATTAATGCTAAATCAAAGTCAGCTTTTTATTTAGAAATGATTTTGGCTTCTATAATGCCTCAAGATCATCTTCAGAAGTATTCATTCCCCTGTTAGATTAGGTCATTGAATATTTTGATAGGATGAAGGTAAAACTGAACATATAGACATTTATATTAATTATCAAGAAGTATATAACATGTACAAATAAATGTAACATTTTTGTGATAAATCTTCAGTGTGAAATGATTACTTTATAGATTACATGTACTGGTTAAAAACATACAATTTCCAGTTACAGTGTGGGCACTGGGGCTTATCAGTGAATAATGCGTATGTGAGTCCCCATTTTCACAGAATTTACCTTCTATGAGGGGAAAACAGAAAACAAACAAATGAACGAGTAAAATCTCTCTTGCATCTGTATTTTTCACTGTGACTTTATCTTAAATGTAACCCGAATACTAAAATACTTGAAATTCGATTATTACTTGTTTGACATTTTACAAAGTCCAATGTTTGCAACTTTTATTAGGTAGCAAATTGTCTCCTAAGAATTAAAATAGAGCCTGAAGAAGATTCGAAGGACCAATGAAAAATTATAACTTGGAAAAGTGTTGTTTTACACATTTGGCCAAAACCAGAAGTGCTGTTCGTCACACACTCAAGGAGGCGGCTGCCCCTCCCCTGCCAGCTTGCGCTGCACAGATCCGAGGTCTCCCCGGCGTGGGGGCCGCTCCACGCTGACCCTCCCTGGGGGGTCCCGGGGCTTATCTGGACCCTTTTCCATGTGATGAGTTGTGACTCCAGTAAATCTCGACCGTGTAAATAAATGTTAGTGTGTGCGGACGTTTCTGCAGTACTGCTTGACTGCATCCTTGAAACCTGGCATGTTGTGTTTTTTCTGCCATTTGTCTCAAGATATGGCTTCGTTGGGGCTTCCCGGGTGGCGCTAGTAGTAAAGAACCTGCCCGCCAATGCAGGAGATACAAGAAACGCGGGTTGGATCCCTGGGTGGGGAAGATCCCCTGGAGGAGGGCATGGCAACCCACTCCAGTATTCTAACATGGAGAATCCCATGGACAGAGGAGTCTGGTGGGTTATAATCCATAGGATCGCAAAGAGTTGGACACGACTGAAGCAGAGCCACTTAGCACACACATTGCCTGGTTACACAAAGAATTCTTTACCTTAAAAATGCAATACTTATTTTGTTTTATATTGAATGTCAACTATTATGGTAGGTAGAAAAATATTTCCTCAAATGTGTCCACACCATAATCCCTGAAATCTGTAAGTTTATTGCTTTATCTGGCGAAAGGGACTTTGAAAATATGATTAAAATAAGGAATTGGGGCGTATTATCCTGGATGACGTGGGTGTTTCCAGGTGGCACTAGTGGTAAAGACTCTGCCTGCCAATACAGGAGACCCAGGTTCAATCCCTGGGTCAGGAAGACGCCCTGGAGAAAGGAATGGCTACCCACTCCAATATTCTTGCCTGGGAAATCTCACCAACAGAGAAGCTTGGCGGGCTCCAGTCCCTGGGGTCGCAAAGAATCAGTCACGACTGAGTGCGGCAGGCAGAGATCCCCATCTAATCTCCCAGACCTCCACCAACCCCCTGCTCTGGACTTGGGTGGCCCCAGTATAACCACGGAGGCCCTTCTCCAGGGGCTTAGGGGGTCAGAGGCAGAGGAGGGGAGAATTCAGAGAGATGAGACGGCTGCCTGTGGGGCCGGGGGGCCGCAAGCCCAGGAAAGCAGGCCAAGTATAGAAGCTGGGGGAGCCAAGGGCTGGACATCCCAGCGTTCAGAAGGAGCACGGACCTGCCAGCAGCTTGACTTTTGCCCAGTGAGACTTCTGATGTTTGAAATGAGAGATGATGAATGTGTGTTGTTTTAAGCCACTGTGTGTGGTAATTTGTTACAGCTGTAATAAGAAATTAATGACGCTCCTCTGAATCAACTTTCCCTGACACATAATGGGCCTTTTAAGACTGCAATAGTGCCAAGTGGTTGTTCTGCTTGAATTTTTCTTGCTTTAGTTATGTCTCTCTGGGTTCTAATTATGTATATGCTGGTGATTTTTTTTTTGGCTGTGCCGGATCTTAATTGCGGAATGTAGGGTCCCCTGTCTTCATTGCAGCAGGCGGGATCTTCAGTTGCAGCCTGCGGGCTCTAAGCTGTGGCATGCGGGATCCAGTTCCCTGTCCGGGGATTGAACCTGGGCCCCCTGCATTGGGAGCACGGTCTTAGCCACTGGACCCCCAGAGAAGTTCTTGCGCTGTTACTTCTTTACCTGTTTTTTTATTTCCTATACTGCTAGAACTTTTCTCAAAGTCTTAATGCTTTCTTTATTTCCCTCTCATTTTGTTTTGTGCAGAGCCTATTTTTCCCTTCTGAAACTTTTATGTTCTTCTAAGTGAGCTTTTTTCCCTCCTAATTTCCCGAATCCTCTTAGCTGGCAGCTGACACGGCATTGTCTGTAGATTCTTGCACGTATACGAGAGACTCATCACCTTCCGTGATTGATTTTTTGCTTTCTCCTTGTGAACTTTGCTGCCTTCCAGGCCTTGACCATTTCCTCGGCTTCTCCTCCTGACTTTCACGCCCAGCTTCGGCGTGACCTCTGTGGCTTCCGGCCTCCCTTGGAGTTGTTTTGGAGGATGTGGACATCAGTCTGCATCAGATCACAGACATCAGTCTGTTTCTTGCAAGGCCTTACGGGAGGTGGAAAAGGAGAGAGGCGATTCCCACGGTCAGGTTGACAGCGGAAGTCTCTTTCGGTTTTTCAACATAATGACTTCATAGAGGCAGTGATGAGATTTAATCCCACAGTAGAATTTGACATTTGATAAGTCCCTCCTTTTATTAAAGAGATTTGACTGCTGACTTTTATTTCGGGCTGCCCTGGGTCTCCATTGCTGCGTGCGGGCTTTCTCCAGCTGCGGCGAGAGGGGTCTGCTCCCCCGTTGCGGTGTGCAGCCTTTTCACGGAGGTGACTTCTGCGTTCAGAGCACAGGGTCCAGGGTGCGGGCTCGGTGGTCGTGGCGCACGGGCCCCATTGCCCCTCAGCGTGTGGGATCTTCCTGGGCCCGGGGTCGAATCCGTGTCCCCTGCGCTGACAGGCGGATTCTTAACCACTGGACCATCAGGGAAATCCTCCCTTCTTTTCAAAACACGTGCTCTTCTTGGTTTGTTTCTCCAGCCATGTTCCTTGCTCTTTTACCCACTGCTTTTTTTAAACTTTTAAAAAGGTTCCTTCACTGTGGGTGTTTTTCAGACCTCTGACACAGCCCCCTTATCTTCATTCTTGTTTCTTCCCAGCCTTAAATCCTCTATGTCGTCACGTAACAGCCATGTGTGATGGCCGCAATGAAGATCTTTAGTCCAGCAGACTTTCCTGAGATCCAAGCCTATTTATACCTCTGTCCATTGAACACCTCTTCCCGAGGATCTTGGTGACATCTCAGCATGAACTCTAGACTTTTCCCCTACATCTGGTCCTCTTCCTGTATCCCCTGTTCCAGTAAGTATGCTGACTGTGCCTTTAGTTGTTCAGTCTAGAATTCTGAGTGTCATTCCTGACTGCTTCCTTGAAGCCAGTGCATTAAGCTCAAAACTTTATTGGTGATTCCTCATATATGTCATTTGAGCTGATCTGTTTCTCTTCATTTCCCCTTCACCCTCCTGGTACAAACCCCCATCATCTCTCACCTCGGCTGGTTTCCTTGCCTCCAGTTTTGCACTTTTCTCAACTGGGAGTGACACGGCGGTGTTTCTAAAACACAGACGTAGTCATTTTTCTCGACTGCACGCAGCCCTGCGGGGCCTCCCGTCTCCTTTCTGGTGGCCCAGGCTGCGTGGCTCTGCCTGTCTGATCTCTTTTTCTGTGGGTTTTCCTAGTCCTGCCTCAGCTCCAAAGTCCTATGCCTACTGTGGATTTCACTGCCAGACGTATGTGTCCAAGTAAAAAGTAAATCCCTGTTTCTTGACTTGGCTCACTTAATGTGTCTTCAAAAATATTATCAGTATCTTCTCCTTTAAAACTATTTCCAGGAATTTTAAGATAATAAAATAGAAAGTCAAGAGAAGTAGCCAAGTGTGATAGCTGTGATTGACAGCTGCTGTCTGAAGCCTTTATGGTTAATTATTTAAGGAAGTAACACTGGAAGTATAAATAATTGGGAGGATGTTTCCTTTTCATAAAATAGAATAAAAAACAAACATTAGCAAAGTAGATCTGATTTTCCTATAAAAATGTATTGTCCTAAAATTTATCTACAAGTCTTTCACATATATCAGAATAGGAGAGATCTACTCTCTTAAAAGCAGTCATTTTCAGAAATACATGTGAATTATTTTTATATTTGAATACTGTCATTTTAATTTAATTTTGCATATTAAGGTACACAGTAACTTGTTAAGTTTTCAAAGACATTTAAATACATCAAGTATTTAAAGCTGAGTGGAGCTGGGAAGTTCACACTTTATATACCAAAATATATTCATATTTTAGCTGTTGAAAACAAAATTAAGCATTAATGCTCCTAGTATTTACCTTCATTGACTGAAATGAAACCCCACAATATAAGAACTGTGAGTTGAGTTTATTCAGTGTCTTACTGAGGACTATAGCCCAGAAAACAGCCTCTCAGACAGCTCTGAGAAACTATTTCAAAGGAAGGGAGAAGCCTGGATTTATGTAATTTTTTTAATAACAAAAGATTACTGCTAATCACAAAGAAACAAAGAAAAGACATCTAAATTCAACGATTTTAGTGCTTTTCTATGTACGAGGAGGAGGTGCAAGAATATGGGGTCATTGAAATCTTTCCTTTCCACATTCTTAAATATCTACTGTAAGGAGTGATTCATATTAGCTTAGAGAAGCTTTCTATAGAATAGGCATTTAGTGCATGTTTTCTTGTTAGCATGTATCTATCCGTGGTCTAACTAGCATGCAAAAAAAACCTAAGTAAGTTTTAATGTGTAGAAACATATTATGTATGCTTAAGATTATAATTACTTTACATTTTAATTGATTTTTTAGTGTATTTTCTTAAATTTAAAATTCACTTAGCAGCACAAATTGATGGAGTGCACGCTGTGTGCTCGGCTCCATTCTTGGCCTCCGGGTTTCCAGCTGTCCCTGTGGGAGAGTCGTTGGCTTGGCCTCAATGTCAGCAACATGGATCTATGCGTGCTCAGCTGTGTCTGGCTCTTTACAGCCCCATGGACTGTAGCCTACCAGGCTCCTCTGCCCTTGGAATTCTACGAGCAAGAATACTGGAGTGGGTTGCCATCCCCTACACCAAGGCATCTTCCCAACTCAGGGATCGAACCCACATCTCTTGCATCTCCTGCATTGGCAGGTGGATTCTTTACCACTTACACCGGATGGAGTGTAATCCCTGTGTGTGTGTGTGTGCATGCTCTCTTGTATGTGGGCAGGGTTGGGGGAGAAATGTACACAGTACACAAAAACAAGTAAGTGATTTTTTCTCATTAACAAGAATATTTCCAGCAAGATAAGATGAAATGCCAAAAATAAAAGAGAAAATAAGAATATAAACCTAATAAGGACTTGCTTTTCTTTCTCTTCTGACAATATAGCAGTGAGATTTGGTAAGAACTGGATAACTTTATAGGTATAAGTACGGTATAGAGAAATGGGGGATCAATGTAAAGTATTGTAAACAAATTTATAGTCAATAAATATGTCTAGTCAGAATATAGACATGCAGACTTAAAAATACGTGTTTCACTTCAAGACTTCATATTACCTCTCTGATGGAGAGTGTTTCATTTCCCAGAGATTCAGCAACCAGGTAGTAAGATGCTTTTAAAGCATGGACTGCTAGTGACTAATTGCATAGTACCATGATTAGGATTTCTTTAAATACATATTTGCTGCATTTGGTTTGGGTCAGGCATCATTTAAGGCCCTGAGGAAACAGCAGGGAACTAAACATGAACAGTCCCCAAGCTCAGAGAAGTTGGAATCTAAGATATGTGTGGCTCTGAAGGGGGAAAGGAAGCCCTCTGTGGTCAGAGTGTCAAATAAAACGTGAAAATAATTGCCTTCAGTCATCAGCTTGTATTTATAATTTTTAATAATAACAACCCTGATATTAATTCTTCCTCGTGTTTTCAGAACCCTTTGTTAAAGAATGCTGTGGGCACATGATCTCTAAACAGAATTTAAAGCTACATCATTATAATCTTTTCCCCAGAATAATGTAGTATGAAAACAGGCGATGATGAGGTTACCTCTGTTCTGTGTAACTGGGGGGGTCTTTATTGGCGGATTGTCGTTACACAGGGTGGCACCAGATGGTTTTCACAAGAGGAAGTGGCTTCTCAGAGACCATCTTTGGGAACAGAAAGTTGGGGGGATTGGACTGCTCCCTGTATGGGAACTTAGGAGAGGAGGGGTGAGCTGTAGGGGGCCCCCCCTCCTTGCTGCCTCATCTCTCCTTTCTACCACCCCCGCCCCCTGCCAAAGAAGGGTAGAGGAAAATTTTCTTCCTCCCCAACAGAATCAAAGAGAAACTGCAAATCTATCGGTGTGTTATTCAGAGACCTTTCTTTGGCCTCAAACTCTCCCATCCAGACTAGACATTATTATGAAAGTTGCTAAAATACAGAAGGAATCAAAACCCCAGACATTACATATGAAGTGCTTGCTTTCAAGTTCCTGTATCTGATAGCTGGCCTGGGTGAGTATGTAAATGATGCTGCGAAACCGCCGGAGGATAGTCATTTTTTTAAAAGATGAACGTCTCCTCTAAGTTTCAGACTTAGGTTAGTAACTAAGCATGTTATCAAAAGGTATATGTGTCAGGTCCAGCTGCTCACCACTCAAAAGCCAAAAACCAAGCCAGTTGGTGGAAAGGAAAGTTTGCCTTATTTCAGATGCTGGCAACTTGTGGGGAAGAGAGGTGGACATCTGTCCACTCCCCCCTCCCTGACAAACGGGGGTGAGAGCATTTATTGACAGAGTAGGTGGGGAGGGCTACATGCAGAAACAGCGCAGCCGTCTCTGACAGGCATCCGCAGAGTGGTCCTCAGCGGTCTGACCAGCGTCTTCCTGGTCGTTTCAGGCACAGTCTTCAGTCCTGGGCGCACCTGTCCCATTTCTCTGCGGTCAGTTCTCAGAACTGGGGCAACTCGTGTCCTGCTTCAGCCTGGTCATCCTCCACCCGGGGTTTCAGTGTCTATAAGACAGCTCACAGGATGTGGCTCAGAATATCATCTATAGCCCTTGAGAAAGAGCTACATGTCCTTGACGGTCTTAATGACCATTATTATTTAGTCTCCTTAGACTGTTCTCCTGTGTTGCAGCATTTCTCACCGCTCTGATTAAACTTATTCTTTGATGAAAGTCTTCCGCAGAAAAAAGGCAGGCAGAGGACAAGGTCGGGGGGCAAGGATCATAGAGTCCTGCTCTGTTTCAAGTGGAGGCGAAGAACTGCGTTTCTCAGTGGTTTTCTTCCTTAAAAACCGTTCTCTTCATTGCAGGAGCATACACCTTTGTTCCTTGGCTTCTCAGCTTTAAAAGAGGAAGAGCCCTAGAAGAAAAAGAGAATAAGATTTTGGTCAAAGAGACAGGCTACTTCTTTATCTACGGTCAGGTAGGTTCGACCCTGCGCCCACCGCCGCCGTCCGATGCCCCCATTTCGTGCTGACTTCTGACAGAGTTCTTTGGTTTGTTCCCCAGGTTTTATACACCGATAACACGTTTGCCATGGGACACCTAATACAGAGGAAAAAAGTCCATGTCTTTGGGGACGAACTGAGTCTGGTGACTTTGTTTCGATGTATTCAAAACATGCCTGAAACACTACCCAATAATTCCTGTTACTCAGCTGGTAAATAATAGTTCTATATACATAGACAGAAAGACATTCCTCAGTATACTGCGCAATTTTTGTGATCTCGAATGATAAGTTAGTCTGTTTTGGTAGAGACAGATGCAATCATTACTTTAGATTTTAATTTAATTATTAGCTAACTAATTCATAATAAGTCTATCATTTTTATATACATTTAGAAAGGGCAGTAGCTTCACAGTGATCCACTCTAGAACGAGCTGTGTTCTCTTGGAGCTGTGATAAGAGTGCTTGTGTCGTAAGAGAATGATGACCTATGCCAGGCACATCCAACCGTGCTCCCTGCTCTAATGCTCCTTGAGGAAGGGGGGTGGGGCCTGAGACACAGAGAGGTAGGCACCTGGTCTGGGGCTGCCCAGCTGGTCAACTCCAGACTTGGTTTCAATCAGCCAGTCTGCCCCGAGCGGGAGTCAGGGAATCTCGCCTCTTCTTTACCTCTCTCCTGTGGAAGAAGTGCCCTTTGGCCAGTTTTGAATGTCAGGTCCAGAGGCACTGTTCTCTTCTGGGGTCACTGGCCACCAGATGGATACGGTTGGGATGCGAAAGGGTAGGAGTGAGCCTGCTTTTCAGCTCAGGGCCAGAGGACTGGAGAGAAAAGGGAACGTGCGAGCTGTCTTCATTTCAGGTCTGTTGGGGCTGTAATTGCCCTCCGTTATTGTTGTTGTTCAGCTGCTAAGCCATGTCTAACTCTTTGGAACCCATGGACTGCAGCACGCCAGGCTCCCCTGTCCTTCACTAATATCCTGGCGTTTCCTCAAATTCATGTCCACTGAGTCAGTGATGTCATCCAACCGTCTCAGCCAAATGAATTGCCATCAAAGCCTTCATTTCATTTGGGGGTAATTTCAAGCTAACCAAGGCCAGTACTTGAAAAAACAGTTGCCTTAAACACATTTATTTATCTCTGGTGGCTGTGACAACTCCACTCCTGACCCCAAGGAAGGTCCCCCCTTCCAGACAGCATGAATGACAGTGTGGAACATGCAGTGGGGGTTGGCTGTGTGATCTGAACCTGTGTATTCCAAAGGCACTTACTGACAAATGCACAAGGAATCAAGACAGGAAGGATAGCAGAGACGCTGGTCATCCTGGACCTGCAGCCATAATAGCTTTGACGGGGTGTTGAGGAAGTTTGCTTAGATTTGAATTCCCTAATTTTCATAGAGAACTGTTACCCTGCAGCCTGTGAACCAGTATTTCTTGTTGCAAAATATCTATAAATGAGGTGAGGTCACTTCAGCCTGTTGTTTATTTACATTAATTAGCACTTAGAGCTTTACAACACACTCCTTTATAAATTTTTCTGATCATCAGCTCCTCCATGTTACTTTCTAGCCTTATTTTTTAAGAATAAATAACTTGACCTTAAAGATATTTCTCAGTGCTAATAGCTTAGCATCACTTACAAAAAGGGTTCTCTAGGAAATTTCAGGTTTTCAGTTTCTATCTGTTCTAGAGCAAATTTGTTTTAAAATCATTAAAAGCTACACATTGGTGTATAAAGTGTTTCCATAATAATCTGAAAAAAATTAAAATGGTCCATTTGAAGAGCCCAGTATCACACCAAGGAACCTTTCTTGTACATGAAACTGAATCTTAATTCATTATGTCATTAACAAATTAGCGATTGCTACCATCTGGAAGAACTGAAATAGCCAGTAACTCAGTGTTGAAATTTTAAGTAGGACCTACTTTGAAAAGTAGCTAATTCACACCGACTTTGAGAGTTACTGTTACCAAATAATCTGTGATCTATAGCCTTTGTCAAATTATTAGATTATCTTGAATATCTGTGACTATGACTAATCCATTCAACAAATCACTTCAATCTTTTTTTTTAACAACTTAATGTAATCATCAAATGCCATGGGAATCCTGAAAGAGTGCACTTCACCCTTAATAATATCTAAGTTCTGTTACTGTCTGTCTTGGTCTGTTATCAAAAAACAAGATCCTGGAAGACAGACTCTTTGATCATTCTGATCACTGCCCCATACATGTCTGCGAAGGTGTCTGGAATATCTGAAATGTTCAGTGAATAAACACTCACTGGCTGTAGTTGGAGGAAACCCAGGTGTCTGGGGCTTGACAGTGGAATTGAGGTTAAGGTAGATGTGTTTCTGTAAATACATTTTCATAGCTTGCTCATGAAACAGGGCAACTGCTTTTAAAATTATTAGTTGAACATTTGACAATTTAGTTGTGTCAATATGTTGTTTGTTTGTTCCTTGGTTTTCTTCTCTGCCTCTCCTCCTCTTAATTTTTTTCTTCATATTTTTCTTTTAAAATGGGGTCAGGAATGACTTGATATACTGAGTGTAGTTCCTGAGTTGCATTTTGTATTCCTGAATCACAGGCTACCTTATTGTAAATTAGGCACATGCAGATTAATTGATCTGTTCTGAGAAGCTAATTATCTTGTTACTTTTGATTATAAAGACAGGTCATGGTCATTTAAGGAAACACAAAATATAAAGGACTATAAAAAGCAATCTGAGTGACTCCTAATTCCATAGTCTGGACTCTACAGAAAGACTCTGTTAGCAGATGTGTTTTGTTAATAAGTAGTGTTTTGTTTTTTACTTTCTAATAATTCACACATTATATGCACATTTGAAAGCATATTTAGGGCTATGCAGTGTGTGTGTACGCATATTTTTGTATTTTTATTTAACATTATTTTTTAAAGTTTCCCTTGTCAGTAAAGTGAAGCAAAGCCACTTTTAACTTTATAATAATTCCATCTTGGTATGTGCTATGATTTACTAAACTTTTATTCTTATAGTTAGACTTTTGGTTCATATTTGGATGCTCCGTTTTATCAACAGTAGGTGATATTGGGTTGACATAAAGTTCCCTCAAGTTTCTCCATAACATCTTGCAGAAAAAACCATGCAAACATGTTGGCCGACCCCACACATTCGTGTGTCTGTTATAACTCCTTCTGCTCATTTCTTTTACTATTTTTAAAAAAAAATTTTAGGCAAGTAGAATAATAACTGGTCTAGAAACCCACTGCTGTAATGTGAAAAGTGAATGCCTGTGTGAAATGTTTTTCCCAAAACCAAGTCGTTGTCTTTAACGTTCTGCCCTCCCCTCTTCTTTACCTGCACAACGGCTTCAAGTTGTTGCCCATCATCCCTCTGCAGGCATCGCGAAGCTGGAGGAAGGAGATGAACTCCAACTGGCAATACCCCGGGAAGATGCTAAGATATCCCGAGATGGAGACGGCACGTTTTTTGGAGCCCTGAAGCTTCTGTGACCTGCTCACACCTTGCGTGTGGCTGTTCTCTTCCCTCCTCTGTGCCTCTAGAGAGAAAGCACTTAACTGGAAATACCAGAAGGAAAACAAAGTAGTTACCATAGCCTCTTCTGGGAGCTGTTTGTTTGGTTTGCTGCAACTGGACCAAAACAGGAAATTTAACAGACAACCACAGCCAAAGGGTGTCATGTGAATTACGAGAACTAGAGCCCATTTACGGAAAAATAGAATTAGTAAGACTTACACTATAATGCCACGTTGAACAACTTAGTGCTTCTTGCCTTGGAAGAAGCACAAGATTCAAAGGGGCGGTAATCGTTTCTTCCAAAATGATATTCCACTGTTTGCTGGGCAACAGAGCCTGTGACTGTAGGACATGAAGACATCTGGGGGGAAATCTCAGGATTTATCCTCTATTTTTATGTTAAATACCCTCTTCTATTAATACTGAGGAAATGGAAAAAAAGGTAGAGAAATCTTGCATTCTGTACATGAAAAAGTAACTAAAAGTTTAAATTTAAATATCGTATTAGATAATCGGACTCAAAATAGGATACTGGTACTATTTAAGTCTTTTAGGTTTATTTCAAGTTTGCAGTTCTAGCTCTAATATTATACGTTACCCGCTGGAACACTCTGTGACATGTTTCACAGAAGGGAAATCATTCTCTCATGTGCCTACACTTCAGAGTATTTTTTACAGCTAATTTCAGTTACTTCAGAAACTTTTAATATAATTTCAACTCATGCATGTAAACGTTCATTGAAAAAAGTAACCCTCGTGGTTTTTCATAAAAATAAAATCTGCCATAGAACTTAATACAGTCATAATAATGTAATATCATCTCCCTATACTTCCTTTCTTCTGTTTTAAACTGCTGCTATTGTAGTTCACATATCCCAGCCTTTAAAAAATACTCATGTTAATAGCTTTACAGAAGTTGAGGGTTAATTAAAGCTCTTGGCATCCTGAGTAGGGCGTATACCATGTGTTATTCTAAAGATTGTTGTTGTTGGTATTGTTCAGTCACTGAGTTGTGTCTGACTCTTTGTGACCCCATTATCACATGCCAAAAGACATTGTCCTGATTTTCAGTTTATAAAGAACCATTTTTGAGAATATCATAATACTTATCTTTTATAACATCATTTGTTTCACTTATCTTTTTAAAATGTTGTCAGTTTACACAGTTAACTTCATTGTTTAAACCGATGGAAAAACAGACCCTCGTCTACACTAGCTTTCCCCAGGTTACATTAAAATATTTTTAAAGGTATTTTTTCAAAACAAACTTGTTGGTATTTCGTGTCTAAAATTAAACTTTGTTCAGCATTCTGATTCCTATAGTTTCAGCTTTGGGGGTAAAATAAAATATGTTCTGCAATTTATTTGTTTTACAATATTATAATGAAAAAAGAAGTGATAGGTGGGGTAGAAGTTTCGATACTAGAAGGAAGTTAGAGCGATTCTTAGTGCTGCTGCTAGTTGGATTGCCAAATAAAAAACGTCAGTGCTTTGCCTCATTTTTGAATTGTTTGTCTTATACCATTCATCTTTTGGTTTCTCTCGGTAACACTGAATGTTGTCATAAAAATTAGGTGCACAAAGCGAATGATATTCAATATCCTGTGATAAACCATAATGGAAAAGAGTATGAAAAAAAATGTATATATGTTTACAATTGAGTCACTCTGCTGTATAGAAATTAACACAATATTGTAAATCAATCATACTTCGATTAAAAAAGACTAAAATGATTTAAAAAATTAGGTGCATAAATGATAAAACATTATAAAGTAGTGTGTGTATGTGTGTTAGTTTGTGATGTAAAGTATCTGAAATCATAAATATGTTTTTTTATTTCAAAAAGAATTTGTTTACTTCAATACTATATATATATATATGAAGTTATACATTAAATATTTCTTAGGACCTGGGTTAAATAAGGGCTTCCCAAGTGGAGCTAATGGTAAAGGACCCTCTTGCTGATGCAAGAAATGTAAGAAATGCAGGTTTGATCCCTGGTGGGGAAGATCCCCTGGAGGAGGGCATGGCAACCCACTCCAGGATTCTTGCCTGGAGAATCCATGGACAGAGGAGCCTGGTGGACTATAATTCATAGGGTTGCAGAGTCGGACACAACTGAAGCGTCTTAACTGAAACATGCAGAGGTTAAATAAAGATAATACTATAATGATAGGCTTAGGCCATAAACTCTTGTAATCCACAGCTTGAAGCGTTTTGCTTTTTAAATGACTTAGCATATTTTGTCAGCAGATGTGGAATTCAGCCACATAAAATACTTTTAAATTTTTTTACTTTCCGCTCAACCCAGCATTAAAATGTGACTCTTCTCTTCCTTGTAAGTGAAATTGTGAGGAAAATCAGACATTGGTTGAATTAAAGCTTATGTAGCCATCAGGAAGTAGAATTAAATCGGAAAGAGAAAGACAAATACCATGTGACATTACTTCTATGTGGAATCTAAAATATGACACAAAGGAGCCGATCTATGGAACAGAAACAGAATCAGGGACACAGAGAATAGACTTATGGTTGCCAAGGGGAAGGGCGATGGGAGAGCGGTGGGGTGGAATCTGGGATTAGCAGATGCAAACTAGGATATAGATGGATGTAGGTGGACAAACCACAGGGTNTGTCTCTGCTTTTAAATACACTGTCTAGGCTTGTCATAGCTTTTCTTCCAAGGAGCAAGCATCTTTTAATGCTTGCACACATGAATGCAGCACTCATGCATCCACTGCAGTCACCATCCACAATGATCCTGGAGCCAAGGAAAGTGTGGGTCCCGAATGACTGAGCCGAGCATCCTGAGGAAGTCATGGCGCACTCCTCACTGACACCTGGAGGGATCCCTCCATCCTCCAGCTTCTGCAGAGAAGATCCTCCCAGGGTGCTTTGTTAAAGGCACGGCAACCTGTCAAGAGAAGAACTTAAGAATCCTTTTGCCCTTTGAATCCCGAACCAGGAGATATTGCTCTGAAGACGCTCCTGCTCTAGGAGACCACCAGAGAGCCTGGACGTGTTTGGTTTGGCTGCCATATTGCTTCGTCATTTTTGAGTTGTTTTCTAACATAAACATCTAGACTTAAGACATGAAACAGGACATTTACACTTCCTTCAGAAATACAGCTATTTTCTTTTGCAGCCTTGAAGAAGGATTATGATATATGTGCAATAATACTAAGAATCATAAGGGCACAGCCTGGTGATATGTTTTCACAAAGTGGACCTCCTCCTAAAATCACCTCCCCAATCTCAGCACCCCAATCTCACCAACACCCCAAAGTCTGTCACCTCCTCTCCGACCTTCAGAGATCACCATTCCGACTTCTGTCCTTGAGGTAGTTTTGCCATTTGGATTTTATAGAGACGGCAGCTTACAGCATGTCAGCTTTTGAACATTTGCCCACCACTTTGTGAAACCCTTCCATGCTGTTTCCTATAGAGACAGATCATTCTCCTTCTTGGCTGAGTATAATTTCATTTTGCGATTATATTACAACATAAATGTCCGTTTTACTATTGGAAGACCTTTGGGCTATTTCCCGTTTGGGGCTATTATGAGTTATGTTTCTGTGAATATTCTCTGAACTGTGAATATTCTCTGAAAATATTTTGAGGACCCCTCGGTACCTATTGCTGCAGGATCTGTAGGTAGGAGTGCACTTGTATTTTTTGTTGTTTTTATTTTTTAAGCTGGAGTATAATTGCTTTACGATGCTAGTTTCTGCTGCACAAAAAACATGCGTCAGCTACCTATATGCATGTCTCACCTCCCTCTGCAGGCTTCTTTCCACGTGTCTAGGTCATCAGCAAGCTGAGCTCCCCGTGCTCTAGGGCAGGTCCCCACAGCTCTCTATTTTACACGCAGTACCGTCTACACGTCACTGCAGGCAGATTCTTTAGCTCCTGAACCACCAGGGAAGCCCCAGAGTGCAGCCACTCGGTCCTGTTTGACTCTGCGGCCCCAGGGACTGGAGCCTGCCAGGCCCCTCTGTCCACGGACACCCCAGGTAAGAATACTGGGGTGGGTAACCATTGCTTTTTCCAGGGGATCTGCCTGACCCAGGGATTAAACCAGGGTCTCCTGCATTGCAGGCAGATTCTTTACCGCCTGAGCCACAGGGAAGCCCAGTGTATATATGCCAATGTTATGGGAATGCACTGTTATGATATAGATTGTGTGCCCTGCTTCAGTTAGTACTTCCAAAAAATTTCCTGAATGATAAACAATTTCCAGAAAATCACACAGAATCAGGCTATCCGAGACCACAGTTGCCGGGGCTAGTTTTTTTTGGGCTGACTTCAGCCAGGCAGGTGCCCTCTGCTTTGCTGCAGACCCTGGGGCTCTCTTTGGGCCTGGTGTTATCTCTCTGGCCTGTGCTAGGATTATGAATAGAACTTACTCCGGATTACCCGTGGGCCCATTCACTTTTCTAAATTGACTTGTACATGTGTACGAACCTGATTCACTTTCACAGGTCCGTCAAGGTTAGAGGGGCTCCACGGTCTCCAGGCTTCTATGAGATCACCGTCTCCTCTCCAGGTTCCCTTCTGGGGGGAGTGCAGGGCTCCACGGGCTGGCCTGGGGCCACAGATGACCCCACGCCCAGGGACGGCTGGCTCGGCCGCGCCCAGGCCAGCAGGAGGCGGATGTCACTGTCTCTGAAGCTCTGTCTGAGGCTGTCTCTGGCTTCCTCCTGACCTCCCCATTGCCCCGTTGACTGAGTCCTTTGCACAACAGGTGAAAGAGCTGCTGTGTCTCCCAAGGCACTAGACACTTCTGTACAAGAGGGGAAAACATGGAAAAAAGGACAAAGAGGAAGAGGAAGGAGTGGAGGGAGGCGGGGGGAAGAGAGAAACCTTCTCAATCTGGAAAGAGGTGAGACATACCCCAGAGACGGCAGTTTGTCTTTCTTAGGGCTTCCTCTGTGGCCCAGACGGTAAGAATCTGCCTATAATACAGGAAAGCTGGTTCGATCCCTGGGTCAAGAAGATCCCCTGGAGAAGGAAACGGCAACCCACTCCTGTATTCTTGCCTGGAGAATCCCATGGACAGAGGAGCCTGGCGTGCGGCAGTCCATGGGGTCACAGAGAGTCGGACATGACTGAGCGACTGAACTGAATTGAACACTTTATTGCAATTTTACTGATTTTCCAGCGCTGCTCTTTCCCCTCCTGGATACCAGCCAGGGCGCCTCACTGCCCACCGTTGCCGTGTCTCGGTCGCCTCCTCTGGTCTGTGCCGGTTTCTCGGGCGGCCCTTGTTTTCCTGGTCCTGCTGTTCTGAGGAGTTCTGGGCAGGTGTTCTGTAGGATGACCCTGTTTAGATTTCTCTGCTACTTTTCTCATGATTCGGATGGAGTTATGATTTTGGGGGACGAACACCGAAGTGAAGCATCCTATTCATCACATCGGATCAGAGATACATAGTCACCTGGCCAGGAAGTAATTGCCAAACTCTCAGGCGATACTTTGAAATTCCTGTTTCTCATTCCTTTGGAAACACAGCCTTACCTGTGCTTGGTAGGGATGTCATGCCCATGTACAACCACCAGAGGGAATGCTAAAGCAACTAATTGTTGTTCAGTTGCTCAGTCGTGTCTGGCTCTGTGACCCCATGGACTGCAGCACGCCAGGCTTTCCTGTCCTTCACCATCTCCCGGAGCTTGCTCAAACTCCTGTCCACTGAGTTGGTGATGCCATCCAACCATCCCATCCTCCATCGTCCCCTTCTCTTCCTGCCTTCAATCTTTCCCAGCATTAGGTTCTTTCTAATGAGTCAGCTCTTCCTCTTCGCATCATGTGGCCAAAGTATTGGAGCTTCAGCTCAGCACAACTAAAGTGAATAGTCTATTTGTATTGGGCTTCCCTGGTAGCTCAGATGGTAAACAATTTGCCTGCAATGCAGGAGACCTGGATTCCATCCCTGGATCTAGAAGATCCCCTGGAAAAAGGAATGGCTACCCACTCCAGTATTCAGCCTTCCTAGGTGGCGCTAGTGGTAAAGAACTTGGCTGTCAATGCTGGAGACGTGGATTCAATCCCTGGGTCGGGAAGACCCCCTTGGAGGAGGAAATGGCAACCCACTCCAGTATTCTTGCCTGGAGAATCCCATGGACAGAGGAACATGGCAGGCTACACAGTCCATAGGGTCGCGGAGAGTCAGACACGATTGAAACGACTCAGCACAATGCAACTGAATGAACTGTAGTTGTTCAGGTGCTCAGTCGTGTCCACTCTTCGTGGCCCCATGGACTACAGCACGCCTGCTCTCGTGTCCTACACTGTCTTCCAGAGTTTGCTAGAATTCATGTCCGTTGAGTCAAGGATGCCATCTGCCCATCTCACCCTCTGCCATCCCCTTCTTTTACCTTCAACCTTTCCCAGCATCAGGATCTTATCCAATGAGTCAGCTCTTTGCATCAGGTGGCCAAAGTATTAGAGTTTCAGCTTGATTTCCAGGCTGGATTTCCTTTAGGAATAACTGGTTAGATCTCCTTGCAGTCGAAGGGACTTGCAAGAATCTTCTCCAACATCACAGTTTAAAATAAATTCTTTGGTGCTCAACCTTCTTTACTGTCCAGCTCTCACATCCATACATGACTACTGACTAAACCATAGCTTTGACTATACAGACCTTTTTTTGGCAAAGGGATGTCTCTGCTTTTAATATGTTGTCTAGGTTTGCGATAGGTTTCTTTCCAAGGAGAGAGCATCTTTTAATTTCATGG